CTGCTATATGCATTCTAACTTCTGAGTTAACATTTATTTTTCTTTTGCATCTTCTGTTAGAGTTGTAAATATGGAAATTTTGTGTAAAGGGAAGGAAAATACTCGAAAAAGATGCAATAAATACTGACACAAACGTCGTTTTTTCACATGTATGCCCATTCTGTCATAAGTGCTAATTTTTCAACTTTTTGTGCACTACATTTTCCAAGGATCACCGACGAACAATTTTGGCAGTATGTCTTGTGATTTGGGGATGAACTGTCATTTCTACTTTCGCCATTTTTATTAGCTTGACCCTGGCTCTCTTTATTAACCACTCATCTTAAAATTCAAAATGACAGAATCATGGCATGCTGCTCGTACAAAATATGAGTTTCGTTAAAGTGATTTTTTGAAAAATGTATGGTTAAAAAGTAGAGAAAAATTTTAAATTTACGTGCAAATTATTTTATTGAAAGAATATATGGTTGAAAATGAATTTTAAGACAATGAGACTCAACTAGGATATTAATATTTAATATTCAAAATTGATTTTTTGACATAAGAAAATACAGTGTGTTGACCTCAAAATCCGATTACACGGATAGGTCACACAATAGGATGAGGATGCACGAGAGAATTCGACACTAGTTAGAATCCACAAAAAGAAGGTCACGTGAAATATTGAGAAGATGAAGACTTGGTTAGTTTGTGTTTCTTATCTTGTCGTTGTAGGTTTAAAATGAGTATGGTATAAACTCAAACTTGGATAAAATATTGCTGGATGGAAGATTTGTGCTTGTGTATCGATTCAACTTGTTGGGATCCCAAATCTTTTAAGTTAAACTAATAGATTTGAACAATGTTAATGAACAGAAGTACATGTTGATCATCATCTATTTAAGTCATTTACACTCCTTATCTTGAAGAATAATTCCTGGTGTATAGGAACATTTTTCACGGGGATTTTACAGACCCCTCACTGTAGCGGTGTTGTCTAACCTGGCAGGGACTCTATCTTGAATGAGGTTGATCATTACTAGTCTTCATTAAACTTTATTTTTAACTATACATTCCATTAAACTCACAAGTGCTACTGACATATCTGACTAGTCGTCCCAAAAAAGTAGTGAATATACTATTCATTTATCCACCACTTACATTCTTTAAATTAAATCATGTATAAATTCTTCCCAAACAGATGCTTAATAATAAAATATACGTGAAAAAAATTAGTGGATCCTCGCTTGTTTAATTTTGTTTCAAGTCTTTGACTGCTCGAACACGCCCAGAGAAAAAAAGCTGTTTGCCTAAATCAAAGAGACAATACAAGGTCTCGACACTTGTTTGGATTTGGACTCAAACGAAATTATTTTTGATTTAAAAATAAACTTCAATCATTTAATATGCCATTTATAATTAATGTACACTCGTCATACAACTATTGTACCATTAAAAGTAGAAATGATGCTTTGGCACAGTCCTATTATTAATTGATCCTACCTAACAACCATGAATCATCACATAATGCAATGAAATGTTGTATCTCCCACTTTTCTTTCCACGCTCAGCCCCATACTTACGTGCCCCTATGTTCTTTTGACACACATGTAACACAAGGACAAGTCACTGTAAAGAAACCTTCTAAAAAAATTACACGCAATACTTGTTTAAAAAAAAAATGACCGTTGGAAAATACGCATAGGACGTTCATGTGGGATGAACTGACCCACAAGATATAAAAGGATTGGATAAAGTGGTTTGAACTCGAAATTCAAAATTACGATTTCTCATAATTTTCCTTAACTCCCATGTAACCTTTGATTATTGTTTAAAGACAAAAGAGAGGGAGAAAATATGGTAATAATAAAAGTGAAGTTTGTATGAAAAATTACTCAAAAATAGAAAAATATCTAGAACCACATATATGACATGAAAACTCTCAAAATTAGGCATTTAGATTATGGATAATACTTTCCTTCTACTGTGATCGGGATTGAGACCGTTGAAGAACAAGAAAATGCAAATTTTGGAGTTTTAAAATATAAAGCAATTCAACTACACGAAAATCTTTGAATTCTTTCTTTTATAATTCAAGTTAAAGAAAGCAGTGAATTTACAAAAAAACATATTTAGAATAAATTATTGACTTTCTTCTCGAAAGAAGAAAATATTAGATATTTTCCATATAAAAACAACCATTGTGAAGAATGGACTGGAAATTGAATCGAAGATCGACCTGAACAACAATTTGAGCATGCAAATTAAGAAATATTCATTTGTCTGTATGGATAAAAAAAATTAATATGCAGCATTTTCAAAATATTAAAGCTCTACAAAATAATTCTAATGTATCAAAAATTATAATATTTTTTATTATTCGAGTTATAATTTTATTTCAAATTCTTATGTGAGTTTCAGATTGTAAGGCGGTAGTGCAGTGATATGTGATGTAGGTGTGGTGTGCTATGTGTCGTGGTGTGGCAGTGTGGTGGTGGCTCTGGCGTTGTACAGTGATGCTGATCGGTAGTTGTGAGGTGGTAGTGCTCACAGGTTGTCATGAGGTGGTGGTGTTTTTATACAATGTGTTGATTTGTTGATATTGTGTTATTGTGGTTCTGGCCGTGACAGTTACGGTGGTGGTGATGAAGAGAGTGGTGAGATGGTGTCATGGTGGTCACAAATGTTGGTTGTGG